TTTACTAAAAATAATAAAAAAATTAAATTTAATTAAATTAATCCTAATTTCTGAATATTTTACTTCACTATAATTTCTGTGCCTTATTCGATTGTAAATAAATAAATATCTTAAAATGCAATTCTAGTTTCTTTCAAAAATAAAAAAATAATAAAAAAATTTTCTAACTCGGAGTCTGCATAAGTCGAACCTTTCCTTTGGAAAATTGTATTTCGATTTATGGAAGTTTGACTGTATATTGAGCATTATTACGTGATCTGTTAGAATATTATTATTAGAAGTATACATATTAGAAGATGATTTGGATCAGTAATATAGTAAACGCTACAGTAACTCCATTTCGACGTTATTAATTGCATAAATTATAGTCTATTTTTATGTTTTCTCATAATACTATATAAAGTTCTTATATTGCCTCTTTGCACAGGATTATTTCTTAAAAGTTACAATTCTTCTTGTTTACTATTGAAGCGACTTCTTTCACCAGAAGTTATTGGTGTTGTCTTATACATGCTTTTCGCTTTTTATAAAAAATAATAACCAATTACTGATAAATTTGATCGCAACTATCCCTGACAATCATCAACGGATTGGTTCTATTAATGCGTACTTACGTACTTATTTAAATAGTGACAATAGCCCAATAACGGGTTTCAATATTCTAACGTAGAACTCCTCTTCAGGTGTTTGTAAACTGTAGACATTTTTTTTAGTGCTGCTTATCGAGTGCGGTTAGTGTTCTCTCAACTTCTCCAAGTCAATTAAATTTATTTCTTAGTGATTTGCTTACAACATGTCGTCAGTTTGTTTTTGACTGGATTATATCATTAAAAAAGGCACTTCAGTTTATAACAATTTTTGAATCATTTCTAAGTAAAAATATTTATTACAATTAATCTATTAATACAATTAAAAAATAATTGTATTAGAGCTGGCAAATATCGGTTTATGTATTTTATAATTTTTTGTTAGCAATAAATCTAGATTGCATCCAGATATACCAATCGAAAACGCCACAAACATATTTTTAATGTGGTATATACTACTAGTACTAGGCCAGAAAAAGGCCTCTCCCCTTCTTATATTAGGGAGTCATTAACGGCTGACATTCTGGCTTTTATTCGGAACGCGGAATGTCTTCTGTTCGATTGGAGTGTGTTGCAGAACAAAAGATCAACCATGATCGTAGTGCTCCGCTCCATTGGGAGTTGATACCCTGTTTACTTCTATTCTATTTTATAGTAGAATTTATTTTCATAATTATCAAATATCTTACATTCCCTACAATACTGTCACCTCATCATCACTCTTACCTCATATCCGAAAAATTTTTGTTATTTTTAAATTTAAAGTGAATTTCGATTCATTTTTTGTCTAAGTTTAATTAAGGAAGAAGTCGTTAAAAATACATTTTACATTAGTTAATTACTTGTTAAAGCATCAGTCACCCAAAAAGTACACATCGGCTTTACAATTTTTCATTATTTTAAAAAGCTTAAAGAAAGATGAGATTTTTAAAACGCACGTCCGGCATTTAAACAAATTTCATTTTTTGGGGCTCGTCATGTTAACAATTTTTTTAATGGCGATTTTATTGATGTATTATATAGTATATATATTTTATTTCTTATTTTCACGTATACGTAAACCAAATTTGTATCTGACTGATTGTTTTGTTTGCTTCTCTGTTATATTAAGCATCTCAACATTATTCATATTGCAGATGAGATTTTCGTTATCGCTTCATTATTCACAGATCAGACGTGAGCCGCACTTGTTAAAATTTTGTGTAAATTGCTAAAATCAGTTTTTTTTTGCGTTTGACTGATGTGATGTCTGTAGTTTCAACGTCATTATTATCATTAATGTATATATTTATATTTGTTTATATTTTTTATTATGCCCTATGAATTATTGAATTGTTGAAGATTTATTCAAAATTTAGCAATGTGTTGCTACGTTATCAACGCGAAATCTATTTCAATCAATTTATTTAATTTATTTGGTAGCCATCAATCAATTTGCATTAAAATGAAACAACTTAATTTTTGGGTGTTGAACGAAGCACACTTATTTGCTTTCTGTATACATTTTTTATATATTTAGTTTTTATATACATATGGCATTAAAGTTTAAGTAGTTTGTGACTTCAAGAATTTGAGGAATATATTGTAGAAGTGATGTTCTGAAAAACATGTGAAACGTAAAACAGGCTGAGATACGATGTTACCAGAGATAAGACAAATATTTAATGATCAAATACTGCAACCTTTGTAATAGTGAAGAAGCAGTTATGTACAGTTATGCAGTTATGCCATCATGTTAATGAATGTTATTGCTTGTAATTTCGCTAAAATATTAAAAGTTAACATAAAATATACACTGAACTTTCATATTTAGCCCTTAAAACAATTCTAAGTTTTTTGTTTTTAACTTTGATATGAAAAATATACTCAAAATCTATTACGGAATTGTGAATTTATTTCCCTTGGTTATAATTGAATATTAAATAATATATTAAAAAGTGAAATGAGTATAAAATTAAAGTAAATCAATATTCTATTTTCAATCAATATATAATTTTTACGTAAAATAAATTTTGAAGAAACACTTAATATTTATCATTTTAAACTTAACTAAGAATAATAGACTGAACTACTAGGTCTTTCGTCCTGTAAATATTTTTTACTGTGACAACTAATGTAATAACATGTCATTTACTATTACTTATACATAATTCACCTTTTATACAGGTTTATATATATCAATAGTCTATTTAGAATAAATAATTTAATTACATTTAATTACAATTCATTTACATTTAAATCAATAGCATTTCTGCCCAATTAACAATATAGATCATAATTTTTAGTATATTATTTTATTGTTTTTTGTTATTTTTATTATTTTTTTTTATTTTTATTATTTTATTAATTATTCTTTATTATTAATTTTATTATTTATTATTATTTTTATTATTTTTATTATTTATTATTATTTTTTATTAAAGACTTTGAATTATTTATGCGTTGGACTTAGATATGGTTGCCCATATTTCTCCATAAAAGTATAAATATACTCCATAAATACATGTACAATAGCCCTAAATCTAAGACAATCCTAGAGAAGACTTTTCCTTGACATCAAATGTCTCAGTAAATATTTCAAATTACATTAGGACCAAACGAACATCTCTGGACGTTCCCAGGATTATGTGTTTTACATAATTTTATATCAAATGAATGGAATATAAATTTATTTTATTTTTAAAGTTAAATAATTTTAGTTTTATGATTGGTTTTTTCATTTAAAGTTGTTCTAGTTAATTATTATTTACTTTATTTCTGGTACAAATAATTTGTTGCAATTATTTTTATTTTTGATGAAATCTTTTCCTTTATAATTTCGATTACTATTGATTAAGCTAATCAAAAATTGATAATATTGATTTCAGCCATAATTTTAAACAATTGATAATCGTATATAAGCTCATAATCTAATTTTAAGAAGGTAATTTTATATAAACTGGAATTTCAACTCGTTTTTTCCAAATTCATTGTACTACCATTATGTTTTTAATTTCATTAGCTTTATATTTAAAAACCCTTATATATAAAGTTATCTTTGGGCATATACTAGTATATTAGTATATATTTAATTTTCCGGTAATGAACAATACACCTAAAACTAACTTTGTGCCTGTACAATTTTTATTGGTCATTTGATTATTATTTATTGGAGCTTATCAAATTTATTTTCGTAAAACAAAATTTTTTTTTATAAAAGTTACGTTTTACCAAATTGCGTTTTTTAAGATAATTTATAAGTTTTATACAAACAGAGTTATTAGGGTTTAAAATGGAATAAATATGTATATGGAACCATTATGTTGTTTGTGACTGTGCATCTTTCTTATATTCATCCAATTTTCAAAAACTCTCAACGAGAGGTATTTTGATATTTATTTGAAGCGTAGTCCTTTCCTCGTCTAGGGTCGAGTGCTAGCAGTATAGGTCTATCTTAGTTGCAGCATGATAATGGTTCCATTAAGAAAATAACGCCTCTTTCATTTCAATTCTGTTTGATGTTAATAATCATTATATACGTATGTTTTTATTTGTGAATAGAATCACAGATCGTAGTTTGTTGAAGATGATTAATACATTTACATATGTATAAATGGAGTTTATAAACTTAAGTTAAAATCAATAGACTATAACTAGATTATCAATATCGCAAAAATTTTACTTAATAGTAGTATTGCAATTTGACAAAACATTTGAAATCAACTTTACAGTAATAAATAATAATTATGTTCCTAGATTAGCTATATACAATTTAAATATCGTTTTTGTAAGTACATTTTTCTTTCCCATTTATTAAGTAAGCTAATACTAAGCAATTAAGCAATTTTAAAAATGATTTGCTGACTACTTTATAATATTTGATATTAATTATAAGTGTACCTTCTGCTCAAAAAGGTACTTTCTGCTCAAAAAGTATTCGGATTTTGTAAATAAAACACACAAATTTAAATTTTATTCCAAATTTATTTTATCTGCTTCAAAATATGCTCTTT